CGGACACGCAGGCTCAGTGGCCATGGCTCACGGGCCCAGCCGCTCCGCGGCATGTGGGATCTTCCCGGACCGGGGCACGAACCCCGCGTTCCCTGCATCGGCAGGCGGACTCTCAACCACTGCGCCACCAGGGAAGCCCTGAATATATTTTTAAGGCTGGAGAACAGCTGGAAGGAGCCTTAAAAATTAAAGATTCAGCTGTTCTAGTCTTATAAATAAGAACTCCAAGACAAAAAGCTTTAGAGGCAGAGCTGGGAGATCTTCTATATACCAATCAATGTTTGGCTATGAGTATACAAAGATGCTGAGATGTTTTCTTAAGGTGATCAAAGACTAGTGAGTTGACGTCTATGCTCTAACCTCTCACTGAAATGATAGGTCTTTAAGTTAAGGTCCTTCCACCCCCGTCTCTATGCCAAATTACGAAGATATTTAGAAACGTACTTCCACATAATGAACCCAATGTTTAATTTAGACTTGTACATTAAGTCTTCTTTCCCCTGGCAAACCACCTCTGCTAACACATAATCTCTGTGAAATTTTGCCAAGCTCCACCCAACCACCAGCACAGTAAAGTTCCTGCTAATTCTGTAGCAAGCTCTTGTACAACATCTACTATCACATTATATTATAGTTTGTCTCCTCATTAGACTATAAGCTCTTTGAAGGCAGGGATGAGGCCTTGTTCCTATCAGCATCCCTAATTGCAGAAGCTGATACCCGTAACTTCTGATCAGACCAGAAGCAGGGGTACTAGTACTCCATACATCTGAACATGGGAATGTCAGTTAATTACAAACTGTAGTGTAACTTTTATGATACAGTTTTTAAAGGTCTCTGGACCAGTCAAAATTTCCTCGATCTACATAATCTACACTGGCCTTACATTACAAATTTACTTCCTTTTCCACTTGTCAGCCCTAGATTATTTTCACAACCATGCTAAAAATGCACAAGCTTACCTGAGAAAACGTCCAGTTTTCTCACATACTCTAATTAAAGGCATGGCAGAGCTTATTTAATTTTCTCCCAGAATGTATAAGTTATGGCACCAAGAATGGTGTAAGCTCACAGAAGAGGTGTGCACTACCAGGATCATCGTACAGAACTTTACGAAATTTCAACCACAATCAAAGCACAGTTTATATTACCAAGAGTTTCTCACAAAGTATCAGAAAACTTAATTTCTTCATTGAAAGATAACAAAATAGTACAAGTCCATTCAATGATTATGTTATAAAGCTGGAAAAGGAAGCACAAAATTTTAGCTTACACTAAAGTCAGTAGATATGGATGGATGGATGGACAGAGGCGTAGATAGGTAGCTAGATATTTCACATCTATCTTCTCAAAGACCCTTTTGGTATGCTGACTCTCAAGAGTTGGAAAGAACTGCAAAAATCACCTGGCAAGTGAAAGCAAGACTCCAGATGTCTTATGAAAAGCACCAACCTTTTGCATTTATTCAGACCCCTGTGATCCTTTTTCCCAATCATTGCCTGCTTCTATAAATTCATCACAAACCTTATATGGTGTGTGCCCCTTCTCCTTCCTTTACTCAGACCCCAACCCTCCAACCACTGATCTATGCAGCAATCCCCCTAATAGGCCACTTCCTCTCCCAAGTCCCCTTCCTTTCACCGGAAAAAGTCAAATCCCTGAAATAAATGCCTGAAGTCTCTTTTCTAAAAGTAGACCCCAGTCCTCTGTGCCTGCCCCCCTCCCCCAGCCGTGGCTCCAAGTACATCCACTTCTGGCGCCCTCTCAAGCCTCTCCTCCCACTTATAGCTCCTTCCCCTAACACAGATAACCCTTTTCCCCGCCCCCTTCCCCTCAAAAACTGCAGCCCCGCCCCTTCCCCTTAACAGACCCAAGAATTAAATCTGTGCTGACCCGTCCCTTTACCTTTAGTCTGCTTTAGTCGCCTCAGCTCCTCCTCAGAGAAGCCGGCCCAACCCCGCGCCATCCGCCTCGACTTGCCAGCACGCCCACAACGCCCAAACCTCAGAACCCCAATTACCAACACAGCTACCCAGGCACATCCGGGTTCTTCCCCGGCCGCGGCTGACCAACCAATCAGCGCATCGAGCTCTGGACGCAAGGCCCCCTCTCCCCTGCAGCAGGACCCCGCTCTCTTCGAGGCTCTCTCCGTCAGTGCCGGACAAACTGCATGAAGAAATCGTGGCCTCGCAGACATTCATTTCCCCTGACCTGGCTGCTCTTTCTCCCTGTCTCCTATGCTTGTTGGGTTATCGCTTCAAGAGGTAAAGGGGGAAATAGAGATGGAAATAAAGGTGGAGATAAACAGGCAGTGAGGAAGTGACTACGAGTCGGTGGCGGAAAAGGGAGGACAGAGCTGCCTCTTGGCGCCCTCGAATTTACCGGGGCGGAGCACTCTACGTGTTGGTGGTGGAGGGTTTTGCTGCGTGGCTTGTAGTGGCTTTTTCCAAAACTGCGCTGAAATCATCCCGCAAGTTGACTCAAGAATGTTCAGATTTAGGCTTTTAATTATAAAGAATCATTTCAGAGGACTGGGGTATAATAGTGGGAAAGGAACAGACACGTTTAACAGCGTAGCCAGGTCTCCCCCAGGCTGTAGCGACTCCTAGATTTCTGTTGATTGGGACTTGGTTCTTCGATTTTGTGAAAGATTGTCGCTAATCTGTAACCTTTCTCCTAAGGGATGTCTAAATCCCTCCTCTTAAAAATGATCTGTCCTCTGTTTTTGTTTTCAGAGAAGACAATGTAAAAACGTCGGCGCTGGGGGATGGGAAAACACTTCCTAGGCTTCTCCCGCCTGGAGTCCTGATTTCAATGTTCTGGTACTACCTTGAACACGTTACCACTCTGGGCTTCCATTTTCTCATTTTAAGCAAGATTTTGGAGATTAAAAGATGCAAACGTTGTCAAAGTACATATAGATCAGGATGATTTAAATGAGACCACTTAATTTTTCGTGTTTCTCTTTTCGCTGTTTTGCATTTTTAAAACCAGTTATTTTGGCTTACATTTAAAAATCACATGTGTGGCTTTTGGTTTTAGTGTGGCAATATTTTTAAACAAATTGAAATAAAGAAGTAGACTAAAACTAAAATACTACACCAAGAAAAGAGTTGGAATGAATATTTCAAGCTTAAATAGGTGATTAGAAGGTGAAGGGTGTTTGGAATTCTCTTTGTAACCTTTAAGCTTTTAAACTTAAAAGCGATTTCTTAAATTTAGGTGTGCACAAACTCTTCATTTTAAATGTGGACTCATTTTTCCTAACATTTAAAAAAATGCTATCCAAAAGGATTGGAGGAGCCAGATTCATCCAGTTTTTGAAGCTAGACTAAATACATTAAAGTATAACGATAATCTAGCTTCAAAATAGTAGATGGGGATCGGTACATTCTGGTAGTTAATTCAGTTTGCCATTTACAGGCATCAGCTATCTAGTTCCATCTAATAAAAATGAACCACCTTGTATGCCCCATGTTAAATTTTATACATAAACTTTATTTAGCTCACTTTGGGTAGATTTCAAGAAGTGTCGTAATCATAATAGAGATGAAAATTAAGGTATTTTTTAAAGTTTTGCATTAACCCTGAATGAGAACCAAAGCATGAGCAAGATTATGGTAAAAGACAACATCTGTATAAAGTTATAATTTCCAATTTGCAAGCTTCTGAATCTACTGTTTGTTGTTTCTGTTACCTCTCCCTCATGGTGACTGGTTTCTTCAAATAATGTATGTTTTATTGGGAGTTTATCTTCAAAAAAGTTCCGTGAGAGCCCTTTATATCTTGGATTGAGAGACTACAGATTGGTTTTGCTGGTCCCTAGAAGTTTCATTTGCTTTAAACCAGATTTAACGTAATTTTTTAAACTTGTAATATAAATTTAGATCTAACCCCCATGTATGATACAGGCCTCAAGTATCTGTAGATGCCCTTTAAGGGAAAAGAATATGAAAAAGAAATATATATATATATATATATATATATATATAAAACTCAGAGATAACAGTCTTCCTTACTGCTTTTACAAACCAGTAGGCTGAGTTTTTTCTAATCCTCTGTTACCATGCGGACCATGGTAATTAATTTAGGAATTGTAAATTAATTTAGGAGTTTCCACACTCTGAACATTATTTCGGTGATCTTGTCTCCTTATGTGTTTAGGAATCAAATCCCCAGCACACATTCAGGTAGAGTACCCCTGGATTTGCTTTCTACATCTCTTTTTGCTTTCTTTTAAGTTCTGTGATGTATTTTTTCTTTTAAATAAAAACATGTTGTGTAGTATACAGGATTTTTGTGTTTGTAGCAAAAGGGGACCATCTGTGACAACTTAGATTATTATATTGGCTCCAGTTGATTCTCCAACAGAGAAGCTAGAGTAATTTTTTAGAAAAGAAAAATCTAATGTCTATAGCCTGTCTAAAACTGTAAAACAGCTTCCCATTGCCCTTTGAATAAAATCCCAGTTCCTACATGAGCCTGCATGATCTGATCCCTGCCTATCTCTTACATGACCATTGTGCTGTCTTTCCCTTTATTC